CGGGCCTCTCACTGTTGTGGCCTCTCCCCTTGCGGAGCACAGGCTCCGGACGCCCAGGCCCAGTGGCCATGGCTCACGGGCCCAGCCACTCCGCGGCATGTGGGATCTTCCCGGACCGGGGCACGAACCCGTGTCCCCTGCATCGGCAGGCGGACTCTCAACCACTGCGCCACCAGGGAAGCCCTGTCCATTTTTTCTAGCTCTGATTTAAAATTACATTTGGAGGATATTATTAGCTTAAGACCTCTACCTGGTACTTGGTTGAATACTGATGATTGAAATAGGACATGGAACCCTCTGTGTGGAGAGACACGGAAGGAGGAGCAGCGTTTATCAGACTATGTCAATAAACACCTTCCCCTGCTGCCTCTGCGATACCAGATAAATGCTTTGTGACCGCTCAGGCAGGGCAGTGAAGCGGGACAAGGCTCTTCATGATATTAGCTGACAACTGCTATGTCTAGGGCAGAATTAATTTCATATTCTCTGCCTCCTTTTTTTCTTTGCATTTTTTTTCCTGTGGGAGTATGCTTCCTTGGGACTTCTCTGGGAGTTTTCTGAATGGGCAGAATATATTTCTCATGAAATTATGCGTTTCTGTCCATAAAATAGTGTTGAAGTTAACAACTATGATTTTTTAAGTCTTTACTATTCACCAGGCACTGAGTTGAACACTTTATAAGTGTTGTATCATTTATTTTTCAAAGCAATCTGATGGGGTACATGCTATTAACATCCCAGATCAGTGAGACTCAAAGAGGGCACGTAACTCACCCAAGGTCACACAGCTAGTAAGTGGTAGAGCATGATTTCAGATGCCAATTTGTCTGCACCAAATCGTACCCACTCAATTCCTGTGCTATGCTATGCTATACTATTCCTTAAGCTACCCAAGGCAAGTCATTAGATGGAAGTCAAAAACATGTTCTTTTTTTTCTCTTTAAAATCAGTTTATTAAAATATAATATACTTACATACAGAAACGAGTAATATACGTTACAGAAGAGTGTGCCAATCATGAATTTTCAGGCACTGAACACTCCTATCGGCACCTAGACAAAGAAGCAGAACCTCTCCAGTGACCCAGACCCTTCCTGCCCCTGTCCTGACCACTCTCCTGACCTCTAACCTCATCATTTGATCATGTCTATTTCCTCCTTTAGCTAAATGAAATCACACATCGAGTATTCTTTTGTGTTTGATTTCTTTTGTGCAGCAATGTTTCTATATAGCAAGTGTGTTTTTCAACATTTTATTTGAAACATCAAAAATACATTCTAATGCTGGAGCCATGGCAATGACTATGAGGCCCCTCTTGAACATTTCAGAAAAGGTATATTGACTCACTGTTAAATAAATAGGCTGCTGCTTTTTTCTCCACAAAAAGGGGCCACTTGGACACATAAAATAGCTGAGGATGGGACTTGGTATCAGAGGACCTGGGTACTAATCTTAGTTTTATAACACAAGTATCATCGAGCCTTCGTTTCCTGGGCTGTAAAATGGGAATAAAAATGTCATTTGTTTTGCCAGGCTGTCAAATGGTTTAAATGGAATAATGTCTTCACATACCACCATGCAATTTATACAGCACTATGGCTGAGCTTATTGTTAGGCAGTGAAGACAGCTATGATCCTTTCACTCTTGTCCTAACTTGTTCCCTGTTGATTTTTGTCCTCTCTTCCAAACATTTTGGAGCCCAGCAATTGGTTAGTGACTCTTAAGCTCTATCAAGTATAGAGGAGTTGGATGAGGCTCCCAGCGTATAAATGTATTGCTCAGTGGCGCTCAGATCATCTCTGAAAAACATCCGGAAATAAACCCTTTTGGCAGATTGGAAGCCCCTCTGCCATGAGTTCTGGTCTGGCTTCTTGGATTTCTTCCAGCCGTGAAATCTTGCAGGGGCACTGTGGGCTCTAACTCTGCCTTTCATGAAACCTAGAATTTAGAGCCAAGTTGCTTTAAAGAGCCTCTGGCCATTTGATAGATGAGGAAACTAAGACCCAAGAAGACAAATGCTTTTAGGTGGCAATGATGAAGACAGTCATAGAATCATCTCACGTTAGAGCTGGGAAGGTCCTCATAAAACTTCTAGTCCAGGGCTTCCCTGGTGGCGCAGTGCTTGAGAGTCCGCCTGCCGATGCAGGAGACGCGGGTTCGTGCCCCGTTTCGGGAGGATCCCACGTGCCGCGGAGCGGCTGGGCCCGTGAGCCATGGCCGCTGAGCCTGCGCGTCCGGAGCCTGTGCTCCGCAAATGGGAGAGGCCACAACAGTGAGAGGCCCGCATAACGCAAGAAGAAAAAAAAAAAAAAAAAAAAAAAAAAAAACTTCTAGTCCAATTATCTGGCAGTTGGGAGGCAGCCTGCTATAATGGAAAGAGCATGAGCTTTGGAATCTTACGGACCTTGGTTCAAATTCCAGTTGGTTAACTTATTGCCTGTGTGACCTTGGGAAAGTTATTTGACTTTTACGGCTTCATTTCTCTATCAGTATAAAGGAGACCTACTTTGCTAGTCACTGTAATAAACAGATGATAGATAGATAGATAGATGATAGATAAAAAGAACAAACCTGGGACAAAACAGGCATTCAATAAAGCATTGCAATTAGAGTTATATTACTATTGCTCTACTATTGATAGATGTGATAGAATGGATAGAAGCTTTATATTCTTTCTTTCCTGGTTTTCAAATACTTCCTGAGTGCCTTATGTGCAAGTCATTGCCGATGGAGCCAAAATTTCTCAATAGGAACGAGAGAGCACATATATACATATTTTAAAGGAATATTTCTGGATCATAGGAATTTAATGCCTTCTGAGTCGGGTCATGGTACTAGTCTAAAGAATGGATGAGACCACCTAGATTTGAACTCATGACTTCACTTGTAATAAAAGCCCACTGTGCTTTTTTACTGATTCAGACAACCATGACTCGGCCTCTCTTCTCCAGCTTCAAACTCACCCCAAATACTCTACTTTTCTCTAATTTCTCCCACGATTACATTTTCATGGCTGCCAGCAACTAAACTTGCTTGTTAAGAAGCCCTGGCATGGGATTCCTGGTGGCGCAGCAGTTGAGAGTCCGCCTGCCGATGCAGGGGACACGGGTTCGTGCCCCAGTCCGGGAAGATCCCACATGCCGCGGAGCGGTTGGGCCCGTGAGCCATGGCCGCTGAGCCTGTGCGTCCGGAGCCTGTGCTCCGCAATAGGAGAGGCCACAACGGTGAGAGCCCCGTGTACCACAAAAAAAAAAAAAAAAAAAGCCCTGGCTTTTTCAGAGAGTATAGGTAAATTAACACAAGACCATTGGTTCATCAGAATCTTAGACCTTTTTACTGGGGTAGGAAATCAACCATGCCTCTGAAGTCAGGTAATGCCCCATCCACATGGGGTTCAGAAAGACAAGCTTTAACAGCAATCATAGGGGCTAAAATACTTCGGTGATGCTGCAATCTCCAGCCACGTCTGTGTTCCTCCTATCACCTTGAATTTTGATCCACAAAACCAAAGGAGGCAGGAGAGAGGGTCCCCTCCGCCAAGAATGGGAGCTCCAGGAGATCAAGGGTCCTATTTTTCTTAATCATTAAGTCCCCAGGGCCTAGAACAGTGCCTGGCATACAGGGGGGTCCCCAAAAGTAATGAATGAACAAGAAAGAATGACTCCTACCTTTTGCAGACATCCTGTCTCATCCTTTGATAACCCAAGACTTACATCTCTGCCACTATCTTTGGCACAATGCTCTAAAGAAGCATATGACTCATAATTTTCAAACCAAAGAGGCTGTTTCTTACTGAGGGAACAGAAGGGGAGAGAGAGTGCTAGAATAAAAGGATAATTCTAAAACAGAGGGGACAACAAAAACAAGGAAGGATGACAGAAAAGCCTTTTGGCAAATGTAGGTCTATACCCACCCGCCTCCTCTTGAGAGTCAGTGACAGAGAAGAAAGAGGGTAGCAGATTCAAAAGGGTTCTGCCACTCAAGTAATTAGTCCCCCTTTTAATTCTTACTTTCTGTAATTCATATTACTTCTGCAGATATTAAATGACTACAAGTGAAATAGTCCATGTGACTGAGCATTTGTGCGTCTATGTGTACACGTGGGACCCCCTCTTCTCACAAAACCCAAGGGTAACGTCGTTCCAGGGCTTTTATTGTCGGTCATAAAAGTGGCTTCTCCCAGGACCGAAAAGATATTTCCTCAAAATAAAGAAGCAGGATAGTCAAAATCTTTCCTGACATTCTCCCACACGATAACACTTCTAGAAGGTCGGCGTTGCCCCCAGAAGTTCTTTGTGACTAGAAACTGAGAGTTTGTCTTTGTGCAGGGCAAGGTCGAAGCTGAGTTCCACCTCGTTACGGCACAAGAAGCTGAGAAAAATCCTGTTGGAAAAGCCCGAGAGGAGCCAGAGCCCCTGGCCAAGCCAAAGTGAGTGAAGTCACGGGGTGGGGATGGGGACATCAGAAATGGGAAAGACCCTCTGAGGTCCCCATATCAGAGGATGAAAACATTTCTCCAGAGCATCCCGCTGGGAGAAGTGAGAAGGAGTTAATAGGTACCATCCAATCAGTGTAGCTTTTTGTTTCTACGATTGAAAAATATTCCAGAAACATTATAGAGTGTTTGGCAAATGGACAGGACACTTTTCCATAGAACTACCACATAAGCACTTCTAGAATAATTTCATGTTTTTTTCTGCTATTTTTTTCATGGGAATAAAGGTTTCACATGAATTTTTTTCTACTATTTCTCTAATTATGCCTACAAAATTATCTTCATATTTCACTTATCCTTTGCTGAAAATTTTTGCTTTGTTGCCATAGTTGTCATAATTAGGATTTTTAAATGGCTGTGGAATAGTCCATAGACTTGATACCCATAATTGAGTTGGTTGCCACCCCGTAACTGGATGTTTAATTTACTTCTACCTTTTTTCCATTATTATAATATGATAAAAATGTTTCCCCTTTATAAATTATCACCTTAAAATATATTTCCAGAAGTAGAATTACTAGCAGCAAGTGTTACCCTATTCAATTGAAACCATGGTTATATATCAATTAAAAAGTAAACATATATAGATATGAAATGTGTACACAAAATACTCTTTCAAATTGTATTTGTCCTACCCCTCCCTGGACTCCAAGTGTCTCATGATGAGTAGGTGGTCCCTTCTCTGTACCTACCTTTCATCTATCATAGTGTTAGGAACATAACTGGTGCTTCATTAATTCAAAATTATTTATTAAACTCCTACAATGTGTACCTACTAAAAAAAAAAACACTTTGAAGAGCACCAAAGAAATATAAGATATAAACTCTGCCTTCCAGAAGCTTTCAGTCTGTTTAGAGAGAACACACAGGTTCATAAAACAGTCATCAGAGTGTGGAAGACATATGTTAGGTTCAAAAAGTGGGTAAGTCAAGCCATGAGTGAGGTAGGAATTCAGAATGAGGGGAATTATTGTGGACTGGGGTAGTCAGGGAGGGCTTCATGGAAGAGGTAGGCATTGAGCTGGTCAGAGTGGGACAGACAGAGGGCCCTCAGTTCTCTGGCTGGGTTCTAACCAAACTCTTGCCCTCCTCCAGACCAACTTTTAAAATGATGAGGAATCATTATCACCCAAAATGTTAACTTGCTTCTGCTTCAAGGCAACATGGTCTTCTCCCGTTCTCGGGCCTCTCTTTGTGGGCCCCTGGAGATTGGGAGTCAGAAATCCTTCCTGAGGTCTTGAGACTCCTATGTGTTGACAACATGGCCCCTTCCCTGATCTTCTCTTGCTTCCTTCTCAGCCGCCCAGACACCTCCTTCTCCTGGTTTGTGACCCCCTTCAAGTGCCTGTATCACCTCATCTGGAGGAATTACAAGAAGTACATCATCATCGGTTTCATTCTGATCGTCCTCATCATCTTCCTGGTCCTCTTTATCTATACCTTGCCGGGAGCCATCAGCCGAAGGATCGTTGTGGGCCCGTTGTAGAGGGTCATGGAGGACCCAGACCTTCCCTTTCTACTACTCCTCCCTTCTTCCTCATCTGTAAATGTATAAGAATGTATGCTCTGTGCAGGCACTGTGCCTGCTACTAAGGGGATAAACCCAGAGGGCCCCAGAGCCACTCCCTATGTCTAAGGACAGATCAGCTCTTCTTGGAGGAGATGGGAGAGGAATAGTCCTGCCCTACCCCAACCCTTGCCACTACCTTTCTAATTTAAAAGCCGTAAGTCGTGGTTTTGTCCATGGGCAGGATGAAATAATGGCTCCTTTACCCCTTAGTAATCAATGGTGATCTCAAACTGACTTAGGAAAATATTTCCTAGAGCACTAGGTAAGGAATGTGTTTCATGGATGAGGTTTAAGAAAAAGCACAACATACATTTATGGTGACGTTGAAAAGGAAAAGAACAGCATTACTTTAGGACAGATTTGGAAGGAAGGTATTATACTTTCTTCTGGATTCTGGACAGTAAAACGACAAGTCAGGTCAACAAAACAATGCACAATGCTCAAATCCACAATAAATACAAGCTAAAAATTGAAAATTCTTCTAAGTTAAATAGAGCTCATCAAATTTACTTTTATGTCAGAAGATGTTGGAATGCTGAAAAGCCTTTAGCAAAAGTATTTGAAACACTTTCAGATCAGGTGGTATCATAAGAAATGTGCCAGAAGAAGGGGTAAGCAAGCATAATTTAGGAATCAGCTCTGTCTGGTGTTCTACACATAGGTTATTGCTCATGGCCTGTCCTGTGTATAAAAAAATAAATTAAAAATGTTCTAGGCCTAACTGTGCAGCCCTGACCCTAAAGATATTACACTTAAGAATTAAAAAGATTTTGAAGCAGAAAACCCATTTCCCAAGAAGTTGTCATGAGTCCCTACTTGTGTTCTTAAATGGGATTAATTTAAATTTATTCATTTGACATTAGAGTTGTTCTTGCTGCTTAAATTTGGTTCAGAGTGGTTTTGTTTTGTTTTGTTTTATTTAACAACATTTGAATCTTCCCTCCCAAACCAACTAAGCAAAACATAATTAATACCAGCAACAACACCAAGTAACTAACCCGATACGATATCCAGTTCTGTGTCTCCAGTAGTTGAAACAGTTGGTGCCTTTCTTGCTCTTTTCCCTCAAAAATACACATAAATGGAAATTGGGATTGACTTCACAGCTGGGGAATTTATTCATTCAACAGCTAATTATTGAGTTCCATCCTTGCTCCAACTGCTGTGATTAACTCTAAGGACTCAAAAGTACACAGTCGGATAAACTAAATCTTTGCTCTAAAGGAGCATAGGGTTTGATAGACAGAAGATATTAATCAAATAATCACACACAGATAAAAACAGACTGATGGATCGAATAGGGGCAAAGTACTGGGAGCAGAAAGACCATCTAAAGGAGGCCCCGTAGCCATTCTAGCAGTCAGGAAGGCTTCCTAGGGAAGTAATGACTGAAGGGAGATAAAAGATAAGGAAGAAAGATGGAGAGAAAGAAGAGCACGCTAGACAGAGGAAAATAGCATGTGCAAAGGCCCTGAGGTGGGAGGGAGTGAGGCACATGAAGTGGTCTAAAAGACGGTGGGTACCAAGTGAGAGGCAAAGGACCCTGAGATGGGGCTGGAAAGTCATCTAAGGGCCCACACCCTTAACGGCTTCAGTCTTCATTTTAAGGGCAGTGGATAGCAAAGGATTTTTAAGCAGTAGAAAAGAATGACTAGATTTTTATTCCACATGGAGAACAGACTGGAAGTACTGCAGTCCTTCCCACAAGAGAGGATGATTATTTTCACTCAGTAATTGTGGCAGAGGAGGGAAGAGGAGGGATCAGAGATGATCCCTCTAAGGCTCCAGGGTGGTCTAATGGGGAATTGGGGGTCTAGTATTGACTCTACTTTATACAAGCTGTGTGACCTAAGGCAGCTAACTTCACATCTCTGATCTATACTTTCCTTGTCTATCACATAAGGAAGTTCATATATACTGTGATGAAAAGACCATGGCATATTCTGGGGCAAACTGAGCATTGATGGGTCTGTAGCATGGAGTGGGATGGACTGTACTCAGAGTCAGATTATTAATGGCTTTGAATGCCAAGCCAAGAAGGTTGGACTTTATGCAGCAGAAAGTGGGGGCCCCTGGAAGAATTTAAACAGAGAAGTGGCAAGAACCAGTCTAGGTATTGGAGAAGTTGCTCTGCCTGCAGTGCATGATGGATTGATGAAGATGAGATCCAGAGGCCAGGGACATTTTAGGAAGCAGTAGTCAAAACCCTGGTGGGAGATGAGGACCTGTGTCAGGGCCACAGCCATGGAGATGGAGAGGAAGAGCAGATTCTGGAACATTGGTGAGGTTCCCCAACCTTCACCCCCTTCTCTGGCACCCAAGATGCCTGCCAGAGAGGACAGGGAAGTTTGAATCCTGGCTGTATCATTTCTACCTGGGCAGGTCACAATCTCTGAGTCTTAATTTTTTCATCTGAAAAAAAAGGAATTATTACCTACTTGGCAAGAATCATGTAGATTGTAGAAAAAGTATGTAAAATGTGTAGCTTGTGCCTGGCATGAAGCCAGTCCTCAAAGGATAGTAGCTACTGTCATAAGTATCATTTCTACAGAAGGAATCAGCAGTATGTGGAGTCTAGTTGTATCTAGAAGTGAGGAAAGATGATCAGACCTATGTTTTAGAAATGTTCTGGCACATGGACTAAGAAACTTTCAGCCAATAATACTCCCAAGTGTATTTATTTTGTATTGATTCTGTAACAGACTACAATGAGCCCAGTGGATTAAAACAACACAAATTTATCATACAGTTCTGTAGGTCAGAAGTTCATCACGGACCTCACTGAGCTAAAATCCAAGATATCATCGGAACTACCTTCCCTCCTGGAAGCCCTAGGGGAGGATCTGTTTTTTGCTGTTTCCAGTTTTTAGAGAGGCTGCCTGCATTCCTTGGCTTGTGGCCCCTTCCTCCATCTTCAAAGCCAGCAAGTTTATATCCCTCTGTGCCTTTCTTTTGTAGTCACACCTCTGTCCGACTATAGCCAAAAATGTTCTTGCTTTTACGACCCAAGTGAGTACATTGGACCCACCCAGATAATCCAGGTTAATCTCCCTACCTCAAGGTCCTTAACTTAATCACATCTACAAAGACCCTATTGCCATGTAAAGTAACATATGCACAGGTTCTAGGGATTAGTACATGGAATTTTTTAGCAGAGGGAAGCATTATTCTGTCTACTACATCGAATATCACCCCAGCATTTCAATTCAGCCCAACCCGAAAGCCACTTCAGCAGAGCTTTGAAAGTCGGTGGGATGATTATGATATATGAAGTAAGGAGGCTCCACAGACGCTTTTCTCTCTGGAACAAGATGTTTCCATTTGTTGTTCAGCCTCTCAAGCAACAATTGACTCAGGACTAAAAGGAAGGATCATTCAGTTCTTCCCTGACTCATTAAAATCCTCTCAAGCACAATGGATGAGGTGTGTTGGGAGCTGGTTATGAAAGGACTCTGCCACTTCCTCTCACATTTCTGCCTCAGGAGTTTCCAAATAAGCCTCTTAAATTCAGCTTTCCTTTAACACAGCAGTAGTTCCTTCCAATTCAGGAGAAAACCTGTGTCTCTCCTCTCCCTAGTTTATAAAGGGCAATCTGAGAAAAGAGCACTCTCTATTTTTCACTGAATTGTTGTACTAGTGGAAAGAAAAATGGGCTTTGGAGGCTGAGATAAAAGCACTGAAACTTGGGTGTAGACACTAGCTGTGTGACCTTGAGCAAGTTACTCAACAACTGAATCCTGTCTTTCTGATCTGTAAAATGGAGCTAATACCCATCTTATTAGGATTGTCTGTGTTTGGGCATTTGTGGTTGTGGGTAGTGGACCTCTACTGGGGACAGAGGTAGAGAATTATAAAATGTCTAATATACTGTCTTCTATGTCATAGTATCCAAATTAATGAGAGCTTATTATTTAAGTAACAAATAACTAATGTTTGCTGTGTGCTGTTATAGATTACAAAGTAATACATGTATCTTCTCACTGATTCTCTCAACAGCCTCACATTGTAGACACGGAAACAGCTGCAGGGACTTCCAAGATCGCCCAGCTCATTTGTAACAGATCTAAGATCCAAGTCCAGACTCCTCCCTCCTGCTGCACGCCCTGCCCCCGCCCTCCTGCTCTCTCCTTTATAAGCGGCTGCCTAATGATTGATTTAAAGTGGGTGGGGCCGCCTCCAGTCAGAAAATTCCTCAGAGATTTTTTTAAGGTCCATCCATGTCCTAGGGGTTCATCCAGGTCCCCTAAAACCTTTCAAGTATCTTACACACAACAGTGTGGATGCATGTTTGAGCCTCTCTTTTTACTTGAACCACTGCGTTTGATGGTTAGAGAATGTAGCTGGCATCTCTCATCCATGCTGTCCCCAGATCTTTTCAATTTTCTTTTCTCATTTTGCCACTTCTTACAGTAGAAATCCCCCCACCCTAATGCAGAAAACAACTTCTGGAGTGCAAACATTTAACTGAGCTCTTTATAAACCAGGCATAGAACTCATAGAACTTAGATTTGGAAATTATCTGAAGAAACAGGCAGGGTAGAGGCACTCAACCATCCCAGAAACTGCTAGCTACTTACCAAATATCTATTTTCTCTTTCCTACTTGGTAACAGAAGGTAAACATTAATACCTTACCAGAGATGTGATTTGCAAATATTTTCTCTCTGTGGCTTGCTTTTTTACTCTGTTGATAGTGTCTTTTGACACACAAATTTTAAAAATTTTGATGAAGTCCAATTTGTCTATCATTTCTTTCGTTGCCTGTGCCTTTGATGTTATATTCAAGAAATCATTATCAATGTCATGAAGCTTTTATCTTACATTTTCTTCTAAGAGTTTTATAGTTTTAGTTCTTATGTTTAGGACTCTGAAACATTCTGAATTAATTTTTGTATATGGTGTTAGGTAAGGGTCCAA